TCCTGCAACTCACTGGTCCCTGGAGGGGTGGGTGGGTAGGTCGTGGTGGAGGTGGTGGGGGAGAGGGAGTGGGAAGCCTCACACTCTGGCCTTGGTAAAGAAACAAGATATAGGGAATTCCCTGGAGGTACAATGGTTAGGACGCTGTTGCCACTGAAGGGGGTGTGGGTTCAATCCCTGGTAGGGGAACTAAGACTCTGCATGCCATGTGGTGTGCCCAAAAGGAAAGAAAAGAAAAAACATAATTAGTAGCTTATATTCACCAATTCTTGCTACTAGAAGGCTAAAATTGGAAAGATAAGATAAAGTGGTTTTAATCTGAAGTTTGGGGAGAAAAATAAACAGAACATCTGATGGCTAGCATATAATAATCATTAGTAAAATTTTCAGTCTCTGAAGCAGAGATCATTTCTATCTTGCTAATGGAATCCAGGATTACTAATAAATCAGATATACGAAAAAGTAATCTCATTTTAATTCAAAACAGGATATAGTTTAGTTCTTTCAATCAAACTCATAATTACATAAGTCATTGACTTTTACTAAACTGTACTTCAACATAAAATACATACTAAAAGAAACACAGCAAGGGGCTTCCCTGGTGGCGCAATGGTTGAGAGTCCGCCTGCTGATGCAGGGGACACAGGTTCGAGCCCTGGCGTGGGAGGATCCCACATGCCGCGGAGCAACTAGGCCCGTGAGCCACAACTACTGAGGCTGCGCGTCTGGAGCCTGTGCTCCACAACAAGAGAGGCCACGATGGTGAGAGGCCCACCCACCGCGATGAAGAGTGGCCCCCGCTTGCCACAACTAGAGAAAGCCCTCACACAGAAACGAAGACGCAACACAGCAAAAATAAATAAATTAATTAATAAACTCCTACCCCCAACATCTTCTTTAAAAAAAAAAAAAAACACACACAGCAATTGAGGGGGAGGGTGATGAAATTCCACAAACACTTACTGCCTACCTACTGTATACCAGGTAATGTAAAGAGGCACGTTTGAAAAAAAGTGGAGGCTACAAAACTGCTAAGCCTCTGTGTGAGGCTTCCTGATTATGCATTTCAATGTGACTTCCGTAAGTTTAAAGGAGCCTCATATATAAACTGGAAATAACACATCTTTAAAATACTTATATTCTTGTAAGTTACAGAAAGTACTCAGAATTGTGCTTAGAATATGGTAGGCCCTTAAAATTGGTAGCTATTTAATCATTATTAAATGCATCATGATATTTAACATTTTTATCATAATTATTTTCAGGATTAAAATGGTAACTTATACCTATGGGCCAACACTGAAAGATTTTTTGCATAGTAAGATATAGCATGAAAGAATTGTTGACTAGACAAATATAGTCATTGGTTTTATTTTCATTCAGAGAATGAAAGGGTAGGTATTGATATTTGGGAAATAAGTAAGTACAATTATAAATGCTGCAATTTATGTTTAGTAATGTTAACTAATTTAAAACCAAGAATCAGTATCACAATTCCTGGCTGCTTACCCTTGAATCATTAAACACATTAAATGTCTTTCTGATAATGTGTGAACCATTTCTCCAAAACGAAAGGTCATTGACCAGAAGAAATTCACATTCAACAGTACTATAGGACTTTTCCAATACGGGCTGCCAAGTGTTTTTTGGTTGTTGTTGTTTGTTTTTTATACTACTTCTTTTGAAGTCACTTTGATTTAAGGAGGCTCTTCTCGTTAAAGCAAACCAAGCTTGCAGTTTTTGCTATAGTAATAAGCCTCATTACTTATACATATTCATTCATGTGTTCAGGGTTGGTTAAAAAACATTTATGTACAACAGTAGAATAACCAGAACACAAAATAGAGAAAGGACCTTAGAGATCATACCTATCTAGCCAACACACAATTCTCCTTTCTTCTTCTTTTCCTTTTAAAGGGAAGTTAAAGCCAAGGTCCTTTAACGTGTGAAGTAAGACTTATCAAGGTGCTAGCATTGTCAAGCATACCAAAACCAGCCAAAGACTTTTGTCTCCTTCCACAACATCATTTCCACAAGTCTGCATGCCTATCCATTGTTCAGCTCATTCCCTGAGATGATCTTCAGCACCACTGGCATATGTGCCTTTGTCCTTTAAGGGTGGCTTTGATTTTTTGAAATAGTCCTAAGTCTTTGGTTCAAAATGAGTTAGGTAAACAAGCTGGAAGACACTGACTATAAAGGCAGTGATTTGCAAGCTTTAATGGCCTAGGAATCACCTATGAAGTTTATTCAAAAGGCAAGTTCCTCAGACCCATCCCCCAGAGATTCTGATTCAACAGATGTGGGGTAAGGCCCAGGAAACTGCCTTTTTAATAAGCTCCCAACCCCATCCAAGGTGATTCTGATATA